CTTTCTTAAGCTTTTGTGTTCTCTGTACAACACTAAAAACACTAAAAAGATTCCTCTAGCTCGCACACACATATATATTAAATCAAATTGGAAGCACTTTCTAGGGAAAAATTAGTTTTCTGGTATAATAGCTAACAGAGTGAAATTTATTTGTTCACTTAAATACTTGTATTGTCTTCAGTAGGGACTATCACATGCATATCCAGCTGCTATTAGATCATTTTATTCCAGACTATATGTATTCTGGAGTCCCTAGTGACAATTACAAAATTCAACCACAAGCTATTGTTGAACTGTATGTATCTCCCATCTCTTTAAAAATCTTAGGCTGGCATGACCATAATTATTAAAAAAACCTTTACATTACCATCACAGGCTTAAAAGTTTATTCAAATCTAAACTCTTCAAGATCAAGTTAGTCATGACCATGTTTCTAATTGAGTATTTTGATTTCTTTTCTCAAAGAACAATGGGCTAAATTCACTGTGGTTACAAAGGAAGATGTCTGATGTAAGCTAATGATGGCTTGAAAAAGGGACAAGTTCTTGTGCGATTTTTGCATTTTGTTTGAGAAAAAAATAATTACTTTGTAATCACACAAAAATAATGGATAAAATATATTTTTTTAAAAAAGAAGAAAAATAAAAGCTTTCTATTTACCTAAAAATGACCTGCTACCTTGAATAATAATGCTGCCACTAACACTTACATTAAATGCTCTAAACTGAGTATTCTGTAACTCTGACAGGCCTGATTTCTACTTGAAGAAAAATCCCACACACATTTTAGTAAGGATAATATCTTCTACTTTTCAGTAATAAGAAGCTGCGATGCACAACTAAAGCTACAATGCACAAGGACAGAAATGTTTGATTTCTTTCTTGAAAGAGGCTGGGAGATCCAGGCATATGGATCCTGGCACTCCAGGTGACACTACATAGGGAATGTGATATCAGTAGGAGGCAAAGCACTGGCTCTCTGTGTTGTCATGTTGAAAATGGCAGGGAGTCTTTGTCCCAAATTTTACTGCCTGAAAAACAGAAACTGAACCTGCCAAATACGGAAAGCAAGCAGCCTGGATTTCAGGGGTTAAATGCAGTACATGATTAAACACAGCTCTCCTCCTGATTCTTTGGTGAACCTTCAGCTCTCAACAGGAGTCAGTGTTTCTATAGCAGAGATGGCTGGGTGTCCTGGAGTGTCTCAGTCTGTGTCTTTTTCATTGTTCATGAATTGTTTCATTGTTTCATTGTTCATTTTCATTCACTACAAAACATATCCAGCATTTGAAAATTTGACATCTGCCAAGGATAGGTGTTAAATGACTCCATCAAATACACAATAGTAGTGAAAAAATACAGTTCCTGAAGCATGAGACAGTGCATGTAGGATACCGTTAAGTTTTAATGATTCACATCATCTGCTCACATTGACTTTGGCTGAGCATTTCATGGAAAAAAAAGTTGGAAAGAAGAAAAGGAACACAGAAGAGACATCGAAGATCTACTTCAAGGTTCCAGTTTGCCTTTGTAATCTGGGCAAATCATTAGGTCTAGGTTCTTATGGAACTGAGGTGAGCCAGCTTCCTGCAGGTAGTTTGTTTCATATAGGTTCTCCCCTCCAGAATATGGTCAGCAGTTACTACAGCAGTTATGCCTTATGCCTTTCTGATGGGATGTTGAGCCACCAGACTTCAAGTCTCACATATAAATTAAGCAGAGCAGGACTTTAAATCTAGTTTTCCATCCTAGAAATAATTGAACCTAAATTTTTGGTTCATCATAATGTGCATAAACCTATATATGCTCTGCCAAGCCTGTATCTACTGAAAGTCAGCAACCACCTTAGAGGTGCTCTCCATGCACAAAAAAGACAGGGCCCAGCTAAGGAGACAGACTAATTTTGGGCAGGTTTTGGCTTCAGTCTTAATTCCAGCCCAATGACAAGGGGATGATTTAACTGGTTTTGGAGTTCTGTTAATGTCACCTGGCAAAAAAAGACCAGAAGCAGTTCAGCGATGTATCTGAGTACATCTACAACAGGCACCCACAGGGCAAAGCTGCATGTATTTGCACTGTTCCCAATACAATGGCTCACAGATACTAGAGAGGCTTTGAATATGAATGTTCAATGAATTTGGAGAAGCTACTCAGTTTCAACAGCAATTCACATTTCTTAGAATCTAGTTTGCTTCTGCGTGGCACAAACATAATAAGAGAGTCTCACCATGTAGCCTAACATCACAGAATCTTTTATAAAGAGACATAGGACCACATGCTTGGAAACCTCTGCAATGTCTTTAGGAGCCATTCCCAGAGCTGCTGGAGCTCTGTGAAAGCTTGCATCAGAGTCCCAGTGACAGAACAGGAGCTAAGCAAGTCACTGTGGTCATTTAAAGGCAGGAGTTAAGTTTGAATGTAGGAATTTATCTTGCAAGGGGTAAAATAAGAGATTTCTTCTAACTCAGCAATATTACTCAATAATTTACCATTTGTACTTTGGCCTACACAAATATTGTATTTTTGATACAGGTCACAAAATGCGATTTCATTGGAGATACTGGAACTTATACTATAGTTTTATGGTTTTTAATTTCTTAATGGGACCGGGGCAGAGATGAAAAGTTTTAATGTATTAAAGGTTTACATAACTGAGAGCCATAAGGTTTTCCTGCCTCACAATCTGATTTTCCATTCCATCACCCTCCTACGTTGATCACTATGCTCTGCAAGTTTCTCTGGTTTAGGTTAAAAAATTAAATCTTTGCAATAAGCATTTCCAAAACTCCAGTAATCAAGTGTCCTCTTGTTAACAGACAAATGTCTTACAGAACTGGATTCAAAACAGACAGAAATGGCTTCTAATAATATTAAATAAAGTAAGAAAAGCAAACACCAAGAAAATTTCAAGAGTTCAGAGCATCAATCCCAAAAGCTGGAAGAAAAGCAATGCAGCACTCCATCTCTAACATAAGGAATCATTTAGCATGACACTTGAACGGCTGTGACAATACAAATCTGTTAATGTGGTATTAGTTGAACCAATTTAGAGAGCAAATTAGAATAAAAGGGTGTCTTGCATGTCAAATTGCTATGGACATCCAAGGCAAGGCAGAGAAACAGCTGCGAAAAAATGCTCTTTTAGCAGCAGAAAAGGCAAGGTTACAGACAAAGAAACACCATTGAATACAATGGTCTGTCACACAAGCAGGAAGATGTATTTCCAAACATAGCATTATTGATTTTCAAATTCTACCTTCTCCAATGGCCTCATTAAATCTTTTTGGGGGGGAGGTGCCTTGTTTGTTTGTTTGTTTGTTTGTTTCGGGGCTTTTTTGTTTGTTTGGGCTTTTTTGTTTGTTTGTTTGTTTTTTCCAGTAGGATTACCATAAACATACTGTGGAAATGTTTAAATGGAGACACAAACTGCAGCTCTCTGGGACACACAACATATAACCTGGGAGCTAGAAACAGTCCTTAGCAGAGCTGACACATACCCACACTGCAGACTTGAAAGCTGGAAGCATCTTATATCCAAAGCAATGGGGACTTTCCCTGTCCTGGTGCAGTCTTGCATCTAAAATAGCAAAACGTGATGATTTAATATTCCCAAGTAAATTTTCTATTTGTTTTGTTTGTTTCTTTAAAAGTGCTTCCTCCCATTCTGCTCTTCTTTTCCCAGATCCTCGAGTCCCTGCTCATGCTATAACAGAAAAGGTAGCTGAGAGAAACAATTCTCTCAGCCAGGAACAAAAATGGAGGTTTTATTCCCATTCTTTATAAAAATTGGCATGTAAAAAAGAATAGTACAAATCAAAATGCAGACACAGGAATATGTATTTGAGGAGACAAAAGCACCACAGTGAGGAGGATTTCGTTTTCATCTTTTCTCTTTAATCCCTTTCATAGTTTATTGAATGTAATCAAGCAAAGTCAGTGAAGGGTTTTATAAGGAAGAGACAGTTCCCTTGTCGTCGTAAGAGACTATGTTACAACAGGATTTTAAAAATTTAAGTAATTTAGCAAGTCCTAAACAGAAAAAAATGTCTGTAGTTAAAGCAGATTGCTTTGCTAGGGCCCAATGTCTGATTCAGAAGTCAGAAAAAGAACTCAAGTGCATGTATGTTTGTATTCAAATTCATATTAATTAATTTAAACTGGGGTTTTTTTTCAGGTGAAATGACCATAAGTTAAAATGGTAAAGAAAAAGAAGAAATACTGCTTGCCCAAGCAGTTACAAAGATTAAACATAATAAGTCCACAGTCTACAAACAAAAATTAGACTCCTTTCCAGAAGTTACAGTAAGTTCTTTAACACAGTTAGAGGCAGGTATCAGGAGGTAAGATTACATCAGTTACATTTACTGTTAATTTCAAAGTACGAATGCATGTGATTTTACTTCTGCTCATACGATTGCAATTGCACTATTTATTTAATTAGTATTAAAATATAAGCTAACTATAACAAATTCAGTTCCTTAGTGTTCAGTAAGTTCACTTCAGCCTGCTGCCCAGTATAATTATGAGCCAGCTTGCCTGCCAAGAATAGCCTGTCTACTTCAGCCAAGAAGTGGGGCAAATAAGCTCTGCTGGTAAGGATAGGCACTTTTCAGTCTCTAACCTGGCTTGCTTATAACAACTTTAAATTTTATTATATCACACTGTTGCTGGCATTGTTGACATACCCTCATTTTAACGACTCTGTGAACAGCAAGAAGCCATCAGCAAAACACACTGTGGCTCTCAAAAACAGCTCCAGAGCTGTGAGCAGCTCATGAATAGCCGTCTCTGTGAGGGCAGCATGATTTATAATCAGTATAGAGAGTCCCTGTGATTAATATTCATGCTACACATCCCAGAATAAATAGGAGATGCCAGTCTGATTCAAAGCCCTCTGAAACTGATGGAAACCTTTCCATTGACTGCCATGGGCTCTGGGTCAAGCCCCAAGCATCCAAGTGTGTTTACACCTTTTAAAAAAGAAGGAATTCACTCTCCACATGTTTCAGTCCCTCACATTTATTGTCAGCAAACCTCTGGCAAAAAATGCCTTCCTCTGCAATGAGACTCACTGAAGCTAGTAGGAGCTATATATACAGAGACTGAGGACAAAATTCCAATGTAAAACCAATATCAAACTGGAAAGAAACTTGATTTTGAAACCACACAAGACAAAATGCAATGATAAAATGAATGTTTCTTTGTAAGAAGTATAAAATAACTCAGATTTTGTATACCTGCAGGTTAAAAAAATTTTCAATGAGGCATACTGGACCTTCATAATATAACATTAAAAAAACCCACTCATATAAATCTAATACCATTATAACCATCTTCCTTGAACACTGTAATTATATCCTCCAAGGGTAAGTACCCAAATGTTAATTAAATATTGCCATCTATATTATTTTATGCAAAGATTTTTTTTACTTATTAAAGGAATTTAATAGTACTCATAGATGTCTTTGTTAAATGCAGATTGACAAGGAAGTTAAAGAATAAAGCCTCATTTATTTTTATGCTACTTATAAATTTTCTGAAGTCCAAGTCCTCTCACAATAGTGTACAGTAATTGGATTAAAACTACTTTCAAATACTTTCCACCACAACTTTTACGTGAACCATCTTGCAAAGCCCACAATGTCTACAAATCATTTTGCAGTGATTATCAAAAAAAATACTATGGAATTAAATAAAAGTGGATCGATATGGACCTTCCTCCCCAAGCAATGAAATCTTAGCACCATACAAAATATCATGACTTAAAACTGAGTGCTGACTCTCCTTGTCTCTCTTTTCTTTTAATAACCAAACAAATTATTTTCCAAAGCATGACGGTTAATACACAGATTGGTTTTGAGAGTAGTGTTCAACAGTAATTTTTTTCCTGCATTTTGTTTCAAGAAGAAAAATATAAAGTAAAAAAAAAAAAAAAGAAAAAGGAAAAAGATACATGAAATAAAAAGTCCTAAGGTAAATTAACAGTGAGTCCCCACGGAGGCAAAAGTGGACATTTCGCGACGGATGGTACTGAAAGGAGAGAGCTCCAGTTCCGTGGTGTACTCATTGTCATTGTCATCACTTGTCACTGTGGAAGACTTCTGGATGCATTCATCACAGCAGCAACAGCAACACTCCATAAAGGCCCGGCTGAAAGGTTTACAGAGGCAGAAGAGGAGAACTGGGGTAACACAGGACTTAAAGAACAAAAGGAACTGGCTAATGAGATGGAGGAGGTCCATAGTTTGTCGAGAGACCCCTGTGGACATGTAGGCAGTCACAATGTTGCAAATGTTTTCGGGAATGATGCAAAACCCATACAAAATGGTCAGAGCCACCACTGTGCAGTTCATCTGACTTTCCAGCTGAATTTGTCGCTTGTTCCCCCTTGTGCAAGCCTTTTCAGCCCTCCTGATTTTCCTCGCTGTCACCAGGGAGCAGGTAATAGTGAACAGGGTAGGCAAACAAAAATAGCAGCCGAAGTACCACCAGAGTCGTGCCCCATCGTAGGTGAGAGCTAACACGTAGATGGTGTCGGGCAGCGTGGTGGATATCTTCACCACGCAGCGCTCACCTGGGGGGCTGCCACTGTACTCGGGGTCCTCCTTGGCCAGCTGGCGCAGCACCACCTCTGGCAGTGCCAGCAGCAGGGCACCTACCCAGATGACAGCCAGCTTGGCCGTCGTCGAGGTGCAGTTTTCGATCATCTCATAATACATCTGCACGTTGGTGGCAGCACGAAACCGGTCAATGCAGAGGGCGCACAGTGTGAATGTGGTGACTCCAAGAGAGGCCACCTGAGAAGGAGGAAAGGAAACACAAGTTAATACAGGTGCTATCTGGGAAAAAAAAAAGGAAGGAAAAAGGGGGAAAAGGGGGAAATGAGAAAAGACAGCTACAAGGGTACAGTCCATTAATCAGTGGAGAGTGGGAAAACATCATATCCTTCAAAAGTCCCCTGTTTCCCTGTTGATGGCAGTCTTCTTAGAGACAGAAGATGAAGGCCTGAACTCATTCAGGCTGAAGAGGGAATTAATACATTGTACATTGGATGAAGGCTCTTACCATTGAGCTGTTCTCTGGAAGAGGTTTATACTCTTCCATAGAGATAGCTCAATTTGTACTCTGGAACACCAGTCAAGTCTAGCCACTTGACCAGCAAAGGCAAAGGCAAACATAATTTAGGGGTATCAGTGTAGGAGACAGTTAAGCACCATGGTGCTGAGCACCACCAAAAGAAACATCACAAACAGAACTTAACTTCCAGTGTTTGCTCAGCTATCATCCAGCATGCATTCTGAAAGAGTACACCCTTCTACTTTTCTGCCTAAAAATATTTGTTCCAGCTTGGTGTCATCCTCTCCTGGAGACCCAAGCAAGCACCTGTGCAACTCTGAGTGGAAAATAAAATAGAAGAACTGAGCAAAACTTAAAACTAAACCCTTTCCTTCCCCACTTTTTTCTAAGGGATGTTTTTCATAAAGATTGGTTCTACCACAGGGGTTGGAATCTTAAATCAAAAGGGGAGATAGGAGCGTCTTCCTTCATCAGAAGGACGAACTTACCAACACAAGTTATCAACCATGCAGGGGATCATAACATTGAAACCTTTCACATCTACAAAACTTAGAAACCCTGGGGATTGGATTAGGCACCTACTGAATTGAGTAGGGTCCAACAACTAATTTTGTGGACTTAGACTTTTAAATGAAATTTTGATGGGATGTAGGCACATAAAGCCACCCCATATTGTCAGTTCAAAGAAATCATACCTGAAATCCTCAGACTTCCCAAGTCTAACTTTGGAACCTTCACTATAATAGTTGAGCTCTAATAATCTGTATTCAACAGTTTATTTAGAAAAAAAATTACAGGAAAATCCAGGCTCAATTTCATAGGAAACATCCTGTGGGAGAGTGTACTGCAGGTCAGGAGAAATGGACAAAGTTTCATTCTTTAAATGATTTAACGATGGATTGGACAGAACTCTCAATTATACACTGTGAGAAAAAAGTACAGAGCAATGCTTATGTTCTCTAGCTTTAATAACCATCATTCTATGTATGAGTAGATATCTTGTACTGTCATGTCATCATTTCCTATAATTTTTTCCTGCTTATAATTCAATTTTATAAAAACGAAATTTGCAAAATGACTATATACATTTTGGCCTAATTCTATTAACAATAAATTCAACTTCAGTTCAAATTCAAAGCAGAATGCCCATTAACTTCAATTGGAGAAAGATTAAGTGCCCTGTTGCATTTTAATTCACTTATTTTCTTGGGTTTGTATGCTTGTGTTATGCTGCAAATGTGTTGATGCAGAAGAAAAGAAACTGTTAACTAACATTCCTAATAAATGTAAAGAATGTTTACTTTTATCATGAATAAACCATGTGTCTGTGCAATTAACTGGGAAATCTAAGGTAATACTGGGCAGTTCACTATAAATTTGTTTATCAAAATTTGATGTGTAATGATAGATTTCAATTTCATACAGGCAGACATAAAAAAACATTTTCTGATTTCCACCATAATATTGAAATATTACTGTTTATGCATCTCTTGTAAAACGTTCTGCAAAGATAGATAGCACAATTATGCACATTTATATAAATGTATCATTAATTTTGGCCTTCCATATTTAATGGCCATATCAGATTGCTAAAATTGAATATCACTGGAAAATATTAGGCACTTGGGATTAGAACTGTCAGACATTAGCTTGGTTGGAGAATTCTTTGAAGCAGCTTCCTAAAAGATTGAACAAGTAAGATGCAATCTCTTACTAATTAACTTGCAGGAATATTTAATGATGACAAGGCAGTACTGTAAACATTTTTAATAGGCAAACATATTGATTTAGGAAGTTAAACTGTCTGTCAAGATTCAAAGAAAGCTTGATAAATACAGCAAAAAATAAAAACAATTAAAGAAAAATTACAGTTACAGGGAAATCTTAATGAACAGTGATAAACCTAGCTAATGAAATACGATTTTTCAGCATCACAGCTGAGAGTGACATTTGTAAATTCAAGATTAGTGACTTTGTTTCCAAAACATTCAAATGTGTGAGGAGTATTCAAATTTCTTAGTGACAGCAAAACCTTTAGCCTGAATATGCAAGATGAATAACAAAAGTGTCAGGACAGCTTGCTACAATTACAGGAGACAGGAAAATAACTGAAATTCAGAAATAAATAGGGATGGAAATAAAAATCAGCAGAACAGAAGAAAGGCTGAGTTTTTGTAAATTAACAGTTTCCCTCTCAGCTCTTACATAAGCCTCTCCCCTGCCCCCAGCACACACACTTCTATTGCTTTAGCATTTCATTGCAAACAGACTGTTACACAGCAGCTAAGACATTAAAACTCTACAGCTGTTAGGGCTGGACTAATGAAAGAAGACATGCCTACCGTGAACAAACATAACCTACGGGGCTCCTGTCACATTAATTGACCAGCAACTTGGAGGTTTAAGACAGTGAAATAGAGCAAGAGGAAACAACTAAGAATACTGGAAGATGGCTTTGAAAACTCTCCTATAGATTTACTGATGAAATGAGCTAAACAAAGCCAGTGTTTCTCTGGAACAGGCAATGGTTTCCTATTTTCTATAGATCAGTGGAGTTAGTGAAGCAATGGAAAAGCTTGCAAAACCCATACAATCACACAAGCAGATGAACACAGATTCACTCCAGCTGACTTGTTTAAATACAGTACAGCAATTTAAGGGTTAGATTACTTTCCCACAATGCAGACTATAAGTAATAGCCAGCAAAATCAATGGGTGCTACTCAAAACCTATGTGGGTGAGAACTGAACAAGCATTCTGCATGTTCACACAATTTCAGTTTAGGGTTATTTCTTCATACCAGTCATACTACTAATTAGAGTTAAGCTGAAAGTGTGGAAGAAGTCAGAGAAGTTTCCTTTTTAATATGATACATGGCCTTGAAATAACCACAGAATGAAGATAATTCACTTGACAGGGAGTAGGTAAAGCACAAATTAACAAGTCGTAAAGTGGTACAAAGCTGCATGGAGTTTAATGGTGCTCTTCTTGTTGTAACAGCTGAGTGTCTGATGTGCTGTTGCAGTCTTAATTCCAACAACATGGCAGGAAATGAGGCAAGGCAAGGGTAACTCAGGCTCAGTAGTTTTTGATCATCACTTAGTTGTCTGATTTATTACCATATGGTCCCTATGAAGATTCTCCTGCAGTCTCTAGACATTCGGGATGACATCAGTTTACAACTTTCCCTTTTTACATGAAATCAGAGAAGCCCCCAAGTTTCCAACTGAAGGACCACCAATCTGCTTTGAGAAGGTGGTGAAGGAACCCCTGCCTTGAGGAAATACCCACACTATTTGGGCAGAGAATCACTGTAGAAGGGATTACCAGCTACAGCATACACATACACAGGATGACATTATCGTTACAAGGAGAGTCTCTTGCATTGACAAGGATGTTAGTGGGCACTGTGATGCTCATTCCAGACACTGCATAAACCTTTGGTCATTAGCTCACCACGCTGTTAGTCAACTGTGTCCAAACTGATTTGGGCAACTGAGCCCAGAGAAAACCACCAGTAAACACTCATGAAATGCTCAGGTTATTGTACCATTTCTCCTGCCCATCCCTCCAACATATTCATTCCCCTTTTACAAACTTTAACAATTATTGAAATGTTTTCAGGCCTTTCCTGGCTTGTCCTACTTCTCCCTACTGTGGTCCCATGGCTCTTGGCCCTGGCCTCTAGGAGTAGTGTCTCTGGCTGACCAGTGAAGATGTAGTACAGTGAGCAAGGGCTGTGGAAATAAGACTCAATTCTCTCTCACTAATTTCTGCTTGATCAGATAAAGGTGATGAAAACCAGAAAGGAAATCAGAAAAGGTGACTTGGGTGAAAAGGTCAACAAAGACCAAATTCTGTAAGTGAATATAAAACAGAGGTTGGGTCATTCCATCCAGTGAGACAAAAACCAAGAAGTGATATTGCTGCTATCTACAGATAAATCTATCTTGAGATACAAAAGTTACTTAAGCCAAAGGACAGTGAATGTAACAAAATGCAAATCAACTGGCCGTGAACAACTCAAGGCTGGAAATGAGAGGGGCCATTAATCATCTCAGGCATCATGTTCTCAAGCACACCTGATGGAAAAGTGAGGGGAAACAATGCAGACTAAATTTATACGGAACAAGATAAATTAGAAGTGTTACAAGAAGTGGCTGCTTCTACCAGCTGAAACTGGATTTTCTAAGATGGAATATACTTGATATGGATAACACAGAGTTTCTTAAACTACAAGGCACTCTTCCTTCCTTTGTTACAAGGCAAGATGGGTATTAGAAAAATTTTCCTGTTGTAATGGGAAAGCTGAACTACAGAAAAGGTTGATAACTACTAGCCAGGGCATCTCTGAGCTCTCAGTAACACCCTGTAGACTCTTTATATCCATTCCTATTATATCATATAAACGACTAATTTCTCCCTCAAGCCATTATAGTCTATCATTTTATTATGGCTGCTCTATAGGCACATCAAACTTCATAGCTTTAGAGCATGTTAATGCAACATACCATGGGGGCTCCTCCAAATTTGTCAGTTTTGCCTAAGATAAATAAACAAATCAAAATACATTTTTTTTTGTGCAACTCTACACTTACAGTAGAGAGTCCAGTAACAAGACTGGACTATTGCAAAATAAGATCATTTTACTGCAAATAATTATTTAACATTTATCTAAATTTCTGGTTTCTGTTCTTCAAATAAAAAAGTCCCACCCCCT